ACATCACTAAAACTGGCGCTTCAAACCAGTTATAAGTTATAACCATGACCTATAGGTAGTTTCTAGTTGGGAAATTTAGACCCTGAACCTTTAAATGAGCCCTTCGCTCACATCAAAATGTCAACTCTTGAGTGCTGCCAGATGGCGCAAGGCCAGGCAGCACTGCGCGTTGGGACATCTCCATTGCACGTCCATGCTGCCTGCAAAGATCAAGCTGGAGGGAAAGGGCCCAGCAACACAGACACATGAGCATCTTACATGCAGAGCCCAAAGTCACCTCTGAATGGGGCTTCAAGAGAAGCTTGCTCGGGAATCCTTATCTTCATGCGCCCGCATAGGTTTCTACCAGAGGAAAATGGGTATTCTCGACCCATGCGGATCACTACAACAAAGGGTCTCCTGAAACCTAAGCCCTAAAGCCCTCCCCAAGACTGGGTAGCTGTTCAGGAACATCAATTATGCAAGTTATCACATGGTGGCCTAACGCAATACAACTTGGAGAAAAACATTTGAAGAACATCATCCCTAAATCCTAAACCCAAAACCTGCTCGCCTGTCATGGAGCGGGGACTCGAAGTGAGCAAGCTCGTGTGCAAAGCTCACAGCCCAGAAGCTCACAGCCTGCGTGAGCTACAGGGTTTAGGGTTTAGGGTTTAATGTTCCAGGGTAAACTGGGTTACTGTTAAGGAACAGTCGCCATAATATTGGGTATCTAGTAGATAATACGGTTTCCGTTATTGTAGCAACTGAATTCAAGTTCCTTAGTAGCAGCCCGGTAAAGTATGGGGAGTTCTACAAATTACGGGCGCTGTTTTGGGTGCCAGATTCTAGTATTTTGGGGGGAAGTTATTAAGGTGGCCCCTCTTGAAAATCCACACACCCTACACCATTCACCTCAAGTCTCTGCACCGGAACGGCACACCTAGATGAGGAATCTTCCAACTTGGAACTGTCTTATGATGCTGTTGACAGAGACCCGAAACCCTAAACCCTACACCCTACACCCTAAACCCTACACCCTAAACCCTAAACCCTACACCCTAAAAAACCCTACACCCTAAAGCCTAAACCCTATACCCTAAACCTTAATCACAAAGCATTCCTTAGAGAGTGGGCCATTGCGCCCTAGCCGTCCAAGGCGTTCAAGGCCTCACCAAAAAAAACTCACGCCTAAATCCTGGGTCAATCCCCCATCCAGTAATAGGTACCACCAAGGACTACATATTACAGGTATGTGAAAGCCGTATCAAACACATATTTAGGGGCTGTTACCTAGCCTAAATCTCAAATCCCTACTCCCTGACTCCACTACACCTTCACATGAAACATCACACAGGCTTGCCTGGCGCCGCCTTGGCCACTTCTTCCACAGGTGCCCTACTCAGCCCGGTGAGCCGCCAAGTCAGAACCCTAAACCCGAAAAATGTTTTCAATATGCAAGGGCAACGCTCAAGGCTAAAACTACAATCCATGCCTCCTCCCAGTTCGATGCATGGTTCTCCTGGCAGGGCAATTCCTGCAAACTCCCTGATTGCTATACTGCGACTAGCAAACATCTAGGGTGCATGGCAGAGATTTGGAGGGTTCAGGCTTTACAGTTTATAGTCCGCTTTAAGTAGATAGAATATGGCTTTGGGTATGTTATAATCAGATCTCCATACACCCCATGTTTTATGTAAGTAAGGGGACTATAGGGTTTAGGGTTATGGTTGTGAAATAGGCAATTATAGGAAATGCGGATCTTTCCAGACAGCTACGCCTCACAAATGCTAACCCCAAATAATTCACTGTGCAGGCCTTCGAAGGGGACACGGGTCAATTGGACCGGGCAATTGAATGAGCGGACTTTTGTGGCCTCAACCCCTATAAACTGTCATACAATGAGATCCTCATTTCAAGGGTTGGGAGAACCAAAATCCACCCTAAACCCCAAACTCTACACCCAAAATACCCTAAAACCCAAATCCACACCCTAAACCCTGAAGCCTAGATCCCCCTATCACCTTTTGAAATCCGCGTCTGGCAATTCGGCCCAACAGGCCCTGTGAGCCCAATCAGCACTCAGGGACTGCCAAGCATCAGGATCCCAGCTGCTGGGCCCAGGCTTCGGAACATTTACAAGAAGGTATATGTATATCCATATATATATATATGTATATATTAGGGTCATTTTTGTGGTTATATCGGGATAATGGAAAATAAAATGGAAACTACTATTCAGGGTTTAGGGTTTAGGGTTTAGGGGATATAGTCCCCCTTAAGTGGATAGAATATGGCTTCGGGTATATTCTAATAGCATCCCCATATACCCCATAGTCTATCTACTTACGGGGGACAACGATGAATCCCAGAAGCATATGAGTTACCGTTGTGAAATTGCTTTAAAATCACCGAGTGACACAATCGAACATGATCGCTTAGAAAAGCTCCCAGGTGGAAGCTCCATGCATTTCTTTTCAGATCTATAAATTATAAACATTATCTGGGTTCTTGTTGAAATACAATTTAAAAAGATTTGTTTTTTTTTGATATTGGGCCCAGGTATCCATAAACATTTAAAATTTTGTTCTACACGAACCCAGTTAAATCAAAATTCGAGCCCTTGAAGGTAGGAACTTGTTGCAACGTCTCCCCTACCCTACTTTCCTTTGAAGCCTGGACCCTTGCAGAAGGACCCCGCAAGCGGGAGCTGCCCATCCGCCGGGGAACTTGCTAGGAGTCGTCCCGCCACTCTCAGGTCTGGGTCCTGCGTGGCGATGCATTTTGGCTTAGGGGTGTTGAACTAATTCCCTTTGATGATGGCGGTGGTCTACACGTGGCTCTTCCCCTATAAGCTTAAGAACCATACCTACTTAAGGCCCTGATGTACATAAATCATACCTACTATGGGCTGTTTAGATCCAACTCTGAAGCCAACACCCAAAATCCTAACACCCTAAACCCTAAACCCTAAACCCTAAATCCAAAATCCTATCACCCCACACTCGAAACCGTGAAGTCCTTACCCTTTAGTCGGCTCTCAGGAAGCTTTGATACCTTTGCATTGTTCAAAACTGATGTGATACGAGGCTTTTGGTTATTTAGAACACCCCAAAACCGTAAACCCTAAACCAACCCCCCAAAAGTAGCACCCTGACAGAGGAGTCCCATGGCCACGCACCCAGAATGCTTAGTGGAAAAGAAAATAGAAAGTACTATAGTATAGGGTTTATATAAAGATAATGGAAAAGAAAATGGAACATACAATTTAGGGTTTAGCGTTTAGCGGTTTGGGGTTTAACGTTAACAGGCCTTGGTTGTGCGACTGCTGAACTCTTGCCACAGGTAAGTACATTCTTAGCTTCTAAGGGAAAACCGAACAGCCCCAAATCCCAAACGTGCTAACGTCTGCGACGGCCTGGTGGAACGGACGGGACACTGCATATGGAAGCACCATCACACCTTGCTGCGAGAATTTGTCTCCATGCAAGTCAGCCTGCTCTCTCTCAAATACTTGGAGAGTCAGGGAGACGTAGTATGATGGGGAGAACCTGTTTTTGTCTTATGGCTTATATGGATGGACCCTCCAATTGCTACACTTAGCGTTGGTGCCTAATGTTTGCACGTCTCTCAATGATTCTCCGGGACTTACAGGCAAAGGAAGTAGGCCTGTGTACTGCGATTTCTTGGTTTAGGGTTTAGGGGTTAGGGTTTAGGGTTTAGGGTGAGCTGTCCATTCTGTCTCGAATGCCTCTCAAAGCTCATGACAACAAAAACGCCAAACAACTCATCTGCCTCAAAATCTCGGACACCACCCCGAACACACATGCTGAACGCCTCCACCTCTGACTTCTTAATTTCCTGTACTTGCCCCTCCCTGCCACAGTTATGAATCCCCAAATCTCATCCCCTTCCCCTCATGATCAACAAATATTCCATATGCATATCTATATATATATATCTGTTATGTATACACCATATAGCATCGTCCAGACTCTTCAAACGTCTATTGCTGGGTGGGGGGTTGTTATCAGGGAGAAGGATTTCGACACAACTACAGAGCCTGCTAGGCTTCTCCGGATGGAACATAACGTAGACCCAGGATTAACAAACCCCCTCCTGTTAAGGGCCTTAATATTAGGATCCCTATTATAATCCCTTTAAGGGGAGGGGGTTTATTAATCAAGGGTTTGGGTAACGGAAATCTGCCTTAGGGGGTCGAATGGTTGAAATCCCAGAAATTCCTGGGCATTATCGGAGAAGCCTCCTGGGTTGAATCTGCATGTACTCCGATAAGATGGCAATGAGTCAATACAAGAATATGATACCTATGTCATGTACAAAAATGCACTGTAGTAGATTCTGCTATGTAAACCATGTTCAGGAAATATATGGGGCTATATCATTCTTAGTATGGGGATCCCTTTCCCCACGCTCCCTTATGCACCAATCAGTGTAGAGCTCCAAGCCTCATCCCTCCCCAGAACGTCAAGAACCTTGAGGGTTTACCCTAAAACTTAAACCCTAAAACCCTAAACCCTAAAGCCTTTTACCCTAAGCCCTAATGACTCGACGGCCTTGGCAGTTGTTGGCACCCATCCTCGGTTGCTAGGATTTGGGTTTTAGGCTCTCTAGGGCCTATAGTCCCCCTTAAGTAGCTTTGGGTATATTTAATAAGATCCCCATATACCCCATGTTCTATCTACTTCAGGGGGCCTAAGGGTTTATGAGTTTAGGGCTTAGGGTCTCTGGGGCCTTAAGGGTTTAGAGGTGTCAGGATTTAGGGATTTGGGGCCTTACCTTGCCTAGGAATGAAGGTATGGATCCTCATAGTAGTCCCTATATAGCCCAGTATAGGGTTTAGGGTTTAGGGGTCGTAGCCCCTATATTAACCCATTATAGCGGTTTCCATTTTCTTTTCCACTCCTTCATTTCCAGCTAACCGATGGCATTCCCTAAACCCTAAAACCTAAATCCTAAACCCTCAACCCGGACCAATGGTAAGCTGCCCAGTGTCGGGTTCACACAACGAGCTCTCTGATAGACTCCGAAGCGGCACAGTTAGAGCCGTCCTGTCAAATCGAGCGGGTGTCGAGGATGTTGAGTGGGGGGTCTAGGATTTAGGGTTTAGGGTTCAGGGGTTAGGGATTTGGGTTTAGGATCTAGGGTTTAGAGTTTAGGCTGTAGGATTTAGAGTCTAGGGTTCAGGATTCAAGGTTTAGAGTTTTCGGGTTCCGGGCTGGGGCCAGGAGTGCCTTTAAAGGTGTTATGGAGGATATGGGGGATCTATATATATATATGTATGTATAGGAGACACGTGAAGGCTGCATGGGTACGGCATATATAAGCTATAGTGTAACCTCCTATTATCCCACTTAATAACCCTATGATGGTCCCCTATATAATCCACCATCAAATTTGAAGCAAAGAGGCTCTAATGGAAAACGAAACATGCACATGAACCGGAAACCGGGTTTTACGTGGGTCTCTCTCTCTCTCTCTCTCTTCTTCTTCTAGAGGCTTTGCAAGACCCGGAGGTCTTGCTGGGGCGAACCCCAAGCCCGAGCGCACGTCCAATGGTCGGTACCCAGGAGGTGGAGCCGTGATCGCTGAGAATGAACGTGAGGTGCGACATAAGTACAAAATTCCAGTACACAAAGTTTGCCTTCACCATCCATTCCCAAGTGATGACACTCCCGGCTCAACTGGGGTGTGAAATTGCGGCCCTTCCCCCATACTCTCTCTCTCTCTCTCTCTCTCTCTCTCTCTTCCTCGATTTACATAAGGGACTGGCGGGATGACACCACCAATTTATGGCATTTTTTTGTGTGATTGGTGGTTTAAGATTTCAAGGTGACATAGGTTCCCCTACTACCCCCCTCCCCCCTCTATGCTTCCCACCCTAGGCTTTCCCCTTCACTAACGATACTTACAATTAATGGAAATTTAATGGAGGCTAACTAAGAGGGAACCTAGGAAGGGTTAGTCTAGAGGTAGTAGGGGAGCCTCTGAGCTTAGGGGGCGAGGCTGAACCCTAAAGCCACGCGATTTAGGGTTTAGGGCAGCAGGGGAACGAACGGGATATGGAATTGTTGTCAAAACCCAAAAACCTAAACCAAGGAGTACATAGGAATAAATACTTTAGACATCCTTTCCTCCATCCTTTACTAGCCGCTTGGCAAACTTGCTCAGGCTTAGGGCTTCCTGTGTAACTTCCCATCTTGTGTGGTCAATCTCATGAGGTGTCGGAGAGGGGCTTTAGGGGAAGGCCACTCATCAGGCCCCTCATGGCTACGCATCTGGTAGTTTCCCAAAATAAAGGAACCCCAATATAGACCCCAATATACTATAATCCTTATCTTGGGGACCCCCAAAATGGTACCCCAAATTCTGGGAAACCACCATATCTTGAGTTTAGAGGCAAGAAGGAAGTCTGGAGGA